ACACACGCCCTCAACCTGTAGACAGGAGGAGGTAACTATAGCAAGCATTTTGACAGAATAATGCCCCCTTTTCGACTTAGACTTTACTAGTATGTCAGTTTGAGTACCACCTTAGATATTTTCATATTTCATTGACATCTTGCTTTGAAACAAGTTGAAATTTATACATATATTTTAGAGCATTGGACTTTTTCCAACGCTTATAACTGTAACATAGTTTTTGTGAACTTAGAAAAGTTTACATTATCAAGGCTCTTTTACTATCAAGCACTTAAAATAGTCGAGCTTGCAGTCCTTCCGACACCTTTTGTTTCATTCGAGATAAACATACAAAACGGCAAAATTGAATATGAGCCTTGTCACGACAAAACCAACATAATGGGTTTGCGACCAGCATGGATCCAGACCAGCCATGCTGTTCGCTAATTAACCCTTTTACAAGTAAAGAAACTTATAGCGGAAGATCATATTGGGTGTACGATGTTTGACCCCAGCGCTTCATGATTATAATACTTGTTAAGTTCCGCTAGGATATATTTCGTGCTTAATTTCTAAACTGTGAATATTATATATGTAGTTTTCTACAAGAAAAAATTAAATGTATTTTCTTATAGAAATCTACAAGACTACTAGGCGGCCGAATTTTGAGACTAGGGAGGACACGTTTTATACAGCTTTTATAGAGGACCACATTGTGATAGTACATGACAAATATCTATGATCTGCAGGTTGTTGTTTACGACAATACTATAGAAGTCTATGTAAACCATGTAACCCACAGTACGGGGCAATAATTGACCCAAGTGGCATAATTTTATCAAATACTATGAAGAAGTTCACTTGGCAATACTGGACGACAAATATCTAATCTCTTGGCATTGTAGCATCCAAATGGAAGAGTTAAATGCAGTTTCTTATATATATATGTTGTATGAACTACGTGGCCTATACCAGGATCAGTTTAAAAACCTAAGGCATAATTTGTATCACTTTGTAAATACCACTAGGTGAATTATCTGCCCTCGAAATGGGAAAGCATTATCAATGTCAATGACAGGCATCTCGAAAACGAGTTCGATGACTAATTATTTCGCTTATTAGGATTTTGTTAGTTACCATATTCTAAATCAAACTTTAAATTAATTCTATCATACAAATTTTCATTCTGCCTATATATCTAATTAATTGTTATTGCGGCAAACTCTTTCGAATTATTTTTTGGACCAGAATCCTTTGAACAACATTGATTGATATTCATGCAAAAATCATTTCTGACACGTAACATCAAAATTGATCTTAGAAAATGTCATTTAAATAAATTATAGACGATGGATAACAGAAATGCAATTCTTTGGCTGAGGGGTTGCCTTCACGGGTTGAGGCCACCGTTTACCCCTGTGTGATCGTGAGAGGCAAATAAATGAGTCCGAATCATTGGAGTCTATGCATCTCTTAGCTTCAGCAGCTTAAGTGGTTTGGAACTATTGACCCCTGGTGTTGCACCCGAGGCTGCCAAAATCATATTTCCTGTTTTATCGCCATATGACCTAAACTGTGTTGGTGTGCCATAAAGCCAAACCAAGCAAACAGAAAGGCAACGATCCGACAGGTTAGTTAACACATATCTTATCTATCATGTTTATGGCGTTTAACTTTAAATCACGTGAAAACATTTTATAATAATATTCTGGATATTTGATACATGAAGCTATTGTGTGAATATTGTGAATAAATTTCATAAAATCAACAAAACGGTTTTCCGATTATTTTAATGAATCAGTTTTAGTTACAAATATGACCAGGAACAATCAGCCAATCAACGAGAGAGCGACGTTCGATGAACATAGCCCCAAGTAAAATTGTGTTTATGAAAATACTCAAAATACTGAAGTTTTTAATTAGATAATACTGTGATAATGTTGTTTTATCTGAATTAATTGTCCGTGAAATAATTCTATTTTGGCTGGCAAAACAGGAACGTCAGAAATCCAGAGGTAGTCACGTTATCATGCTGTTTACACCACTGTTCAAGCTCTCCGGATTGCTTTAAGTCACGCACCTTTCGTTTGACATCATTTAACTCATCTGGAGTAGCAAAATTCCAGTATGACACCGCATCGCGCCAAGCCTGGTCTAAAGGACCTTCAAAGTTATAGTAATCCTTAACAAGATCGGCTCCAAGAATATTCAATTTTTGTTTGCAACTCAGATGACTGGATTCGAACATGTCATCAAACTGTTCCATAGTTGGCATAATCTTATTAAAGCGCTCTGTCAACGCCAGATTGATCTGAGCATACCAGACAGCGTGTGAGATAACAGAAGGCAAGACTGTAGAAAGTATCACGATGCCTCCAGGACGGAGTACGCGTACGGATTCCTTTAATGATTGAGTCGCTGCAGAGAAACTGCCACTTCCGGTTGTGTCAAGATGGTGCAAGACCTAGTGTAAACAAAAGGAAACATGTGCTTCATTTTAAAGTTAGGATCCATATCTGGAAGAGAATGTTCAGTTAACTAACTAATGAGAATTTACATTCTGAATCGATGTAAATGTACCGTGAAAAAATGAAAACTGAAAATTACAATATCAAAGAGCAGGGAAACGCAATTAATTGGCGACAAAATATATCATGTTCATATAGTTACTAATATAGAAATCTTCGTACACTGTTTGAAAACTCTGACTTATCATTGGCGACTTAATTTTGAAAATTAATTAAGACTAAGGAATAAACTAGGTTATGTGGCGACCGAAAATCGTCGCCCACAGCTATCTATAAAATGCCAATGCAGAAAATAAGCAATAGCGAACTCGAACAGTGGGCATTACGGTGTCGCAATAATGTCCAAAAGTAAGATAGTTTTGAAATGGCAAAGTTGGTATACTTTACTGGAGACGGAAAGTAGTTTTTGGGAGCTTTTGATTTGGATGTAAACACTGTTATCTTATTCCGGATTTTTCACATTCCACGAAAGGAGATTCTTTTTTATACATAAAGCACTAACACAGATTTTATTCACTCTCGTTCGTGCAGCTTCGGTGTTGTTTATAAATATGTGTTTAATCTCCTTGCGCTCCTCATCGTGTCATTTTCATCTCCGGATTTTGGTCATTTGTTAACCGCACAGACAAACAAATGATTGTACAAGCTTGTATTTTCGGTACACAATTTTAACTAAAACGTTACTTTATAAGTAAATCTAAATTAACAAACAGAACACCTCGACTACAGTATTACATTTATTCATTACAACCTCGGACTTAATATGATTTGAATTTTAGATGTTAACAAAAATGGAGGGTGTAATCTTTGATAATGTATAACGAATGTACTTTCATAAAAAAATTTAAGTCTATTTTGGTAAAATTGTGATTGAATATCATTTGGCATCCGTGCCCGAGTTTTGAAAGTCGTTTACTTCAAAGCGCTTGTCTCTCACAGCATCAGGTTCGAGCTGCGCAAGCGTCTTTCATTATTTCGTGTGAGAAAGCTATCCATGCAGCTAGCTTGTGGAACGCAATCATAATCAATTTATAAATGTCCACTGACGTACAGTTATACCCTGGGACCTTATGTCCAGGAAATCAAATCCGAATCAATGTCAACAGGTGCACATTTCTTACTTTCGGTAAGTTATGTACTGTTTACTCTATATTTACTCTAAACATCTTTACATAAATTCATGGGTTTTTACTAACTACCAACATTAAAGGCAGTCCACTGAGGTTTTTTTGACATGACGGGGCTGGAAATTTATAAAATACAGTTAGCAATTTATGACCCGAGTATATTTCTTAATAAACTTTTATAAATATATATCTGTTTTAAAATGTCTCGCTTGTCCTATGTTTGTTTGTTTGTTTCATTTTACACCTTTTCCTAACAGTATTTCAGTCATATAGGCGGGAAGTTTTCTAACCATCATTCCTGGAGAGTTACACCAGTACTAGACTACCTTCCTCCGCGCTAAACTACCAAAGCATTCACCGGGGATCGAACCCACGCCAGAGAGGTAACTGGCCAATGTCATTTTGAGTTTGATATACATAAAGGTCGTATCCTAAAGAATGCTGTATCCTAATATGAAGTCAATCCATTCATTAATAAACGAATTATAGCCAGTTACAGCAAAGAAGACATTTTCAATAATTTGACCTTCAAGGTCAAAGTCATTTAGGAATAAATGTCAAGATCTGTCTGGTTAATTGGTGGTCTATCCAAAAAGATGCTGTGTTCAAGCTTGAAGGCAATCAATAACGAAGTTATAGCCTCTAATAGCAAAAGTCAAGCGTAATTTACATTTGACCTTGAAGGTCATTGAAAGTCTTTTATAAATGAAGGTAAAGTTTAGTCTGGTCATTTTGAAGGTCTCCAAATGGTTGTTGTGTATGAAAACAATAGACCAAGAACTTAAAAAGTTATGATCAAGTTAACAAGTTAAAGCTTGCGGACGGGAACGCCGCCATGACTGTAACAATATCTCTATTTCTTTCCTTCGAAAAATACGTCGAGATAAAAAATGACTAGGTATAGACAACGGTACAAGCCTGCGTAAAAAATGAAAATAAAATAAAGCAAATACATGTATAATCTATTTATAGTTTAATTTTGGTTATGAACAAAATACACTCATTTCTTTACAAAGATAATCAGATATCTAGCGTTGTAACAAAAAAAAACAGATGATAAAAAATATTCATTTAAGTGATGGTTAATAAAGTTACATGTGTACAGAGTGCTTTTTTTTAAACCGAGTTAACTTCTTATTATGTTATATCTACCCGTAAATCTAGAAGATGATCATGTTTTGTAAAAGTTCAAGACCTTGTTGATGTTCAAATCTATGGAATATGTTAACACTCTATAATTGACTTAATTTAAAGCGTATATTATCTTTTCATTTGCATCCACTCACTGTTAAATGCTTTATAACAAAGCGGCAACAAAAATTATCTGGTTAAGAATAACTGGAATTGTATGGTATACGAGTACTATTACTTGTACGTGTATATTTTTCTTATGAAAAAAAAAGAGAAAATAACCCCTCCCCCCTCCCACAGTATTTTATTTTAAATTTTGTCCAGTAAATATGTGAAAAACAGTGATATTCCGTGATTACTTTTTTGCAAATCACATTTCAGTTGTAACTGTATCGTTTAATATATCAGTCTTGAATTTGAACACAACTCTTCCTACATATCATTCTTTCGTTGACACTGGTTTGCCGAAAAGCAGTGAAGTGACGTAAAATCCCATGCATGTATTATGTTTTTCCACAAACTGATCAAGAGTGCCTGAAGCTTTAAGCTCTTTGATTTTCTCCTCGACAACCTTCAAATCTTCTGGAGTTGCTGACGCCCAGTAGGAGTTACAATCTCGCCAGTTCTTTTTCAAAGGCCCTTCAGGGTCAAGCAATGTTTTCATCGTCTGTTCGGGAATATCTACGTTATTATGTATATAATTTGAGCACTCAAAACCACACTTCCGGAATATCTCGTGCCACTTCCGGTCATGTGGATACTGTTTTAAGTGACGTGTAGCAATGTTAGGATTTAAGTGAACAAACCATATGGTTTCATAAAAGCGAGGTGATGCACCGGAAGTGATAGCCAGGACTCCGTCATGTTTAAGAACCCGCCTTGCTTCAGTGAGAACCTTCTGAATGGTTGGGAAATTTTCTCCATCAGGATGTTCTTCTAAATGATGCAACACCTATTGTAATATTTCAATAAAGGTGCTGTATCAGTAACAGCTTTATTATGCTAAGAATGCCTGACATATGGATATAGCGGGTTGGAACAACATATGGGAAGGCAGGTAAATCAATGGATTGTCTCATACAGGGTTCCCACAAAGAAGAGAAATCAAATTCCCTGACTTTTCCATGACTTTTCCCTGACCAAAACCATTTTTCCCTGACCAATAACAGCGTCAAGTTTCCACAATCTTTATTCTTAGAGCATTAAATGTATTTTTTATACATGCATTCCGACCTCCTCCTCCCCAAATCAGCCAACCTATTTTCTACAATTCTTTATTTTAAATTATTCAAGATAAAAAATACATGAATATTTGCGAGCAATTGTCATAGGCTACTTGTCTTGTTTACTTTCAGCAAGTATGAGTACATTTATCCAAAATGTAAAGTATTTGATAATACATATCATGCTAAAAGTTGTTTCATTCTCTTAAAAATACAAAGCAGTGTTATCAATGGAGGATTGACTAAAACAGGCCTGCATTTTACTAAAATATATGATAGTAATCAATGGAAAACTGGTGTTGGACAAGAAACAATAAGACAGGTAATAAAGTGGCTACATAAAAAGCAAAATGCAGTAAAAGCTAATAATACTACTAGTAAAACTAGCTATGGCAGTTAGTATCTCAAAGTTCTGAATTGTTATGTGTACAAAAGCACAGCAAGGCACAAAATATGATTGGTACTTAATTGAAGTCCACTTAGTGTTATCTCAAGTTTCTCAATATCTTTACTGGATTCTTTTATTACTTGTCTTTGACCTTGCCCCTGAAGCATTGCACTTGCCATTGGACTTCACAAGCAAGTCCATTTTTATCTTTTACAGCCTCCTGTGCCAGATTATCAGCTTCTTTCACAAGAACAAACCATAAACAGCTCAGGAGGCAAGGGACGCTTAAACCCCTTTTAGCTTCTTTCTTCATCAGTTAGTTACTGTTAATGACAAAATATCCAAAATCTTCAGGCATAAGCATAATCATTTTTTAAGAGTAAAAGAATATAAAAATAAAACAGATGCTCATAATCAAAAATAACAATAAAGATACCCAAAATAATGGAAGAAACTGCCTTAGCTTTTACTGATTTTGCTTCTTGCTGTTTGACAAAAATTATTTTCTACAAAATTCCCTGACTTTTCCCTGACTTTTGCTTATTTTTCAAATTTCCCTGACCAATTTCAAAATTCCCTGACTTTTCCCTGACCTTGAAAAAAAATCATTTTTCCCTGACTTTTCCCTGACCGTGGGAACCCTGTCATACGGAATTGCTTCATTAATTTAGGATAACATGGAATTGCTGTGTTTTAAAGGATTCATAAATCACGCTTGTATGAATCAAAATTGTGCTATGTTTCATGGTCAATGGTAACGTGTGATTTGCAACATAATCTTACTGAAGTTGAAATGGGTTTAACAATTCCTATGCGATTCTTATGCTTCAGAAGAAGAACATAAACATAAAAAATAAACATGTCTCGTGTAATACACATGTAATACACATGAACATATGTGTTCCTGATAAAATGTATGCATGTAAAACATGCGCTACATACACCAATATGTTGAAAGCTGCACGCCGCAAGATGAGCCAAAATATTTCAAGAAAATCAATATTGAGAAAAAAATGTACTAACATTTTAGGAAAGTTTAAAACATTCAAGATCCAAGTTAAACTTTGCATGTTATGTGTGGTTTGAGACTGATTTTTCGGTATTTTATCACCAAATTCTACTGCGTTACTAACGCAGTAAGGGCTATTTTTGCATATGTTGACCGCTTTGTTGGTAATTAACTTGGACTGTAAGTGCCGATTGCATTATGTTAATTACTTTATTTGTTCACCTTACAATATTTTACTTTTAAATACATTTCTAAATGTTCATGAAAATTGAATCTGGAGGCGTGCTGCTTTGATGTTCATGACTTTGGAACTAGATGCAATTTAGTACATAAAAGCAGAATGTGAAATAAACGGTCCATTACCACGCTAAATATCTAAAATGAACATGTCAAAATAAACAAATGCATTCGTCGTTTAAATTTGTTTCGTTCTTTGTTTGTTTCATTTTACGCCTTTTCCCAACAGTATTTCAGTCATATAGGCGGGTAGTTTCCTAACCATCGTTCCTGGAGAGTTACACCAGTACTAGACTACTTTTCCCGCGCTAAACTACCAAACCTTTCAAAATGTATAATGATTAGAGAATAGTGTAGACCCTGATCGGACGACATAACTGCGCCGATTGTCTTTGGTCATCACTGGCCCAACTTGTACTTAGACCAATTAAACTACTAGTATGAGGAACATGCAAAATGATGCATTAATTAAGCTTCAAAAACATGTACATGCATTTGTATAACTCTGCGCATTGCAAGCTATTAAACTTTAAGGGTTGACAAATGCAACATTACACAAAAAGAACATCTTGAATATGACAATGTATTCAGAAATCAAGCTTGAACTTCATTCATTGATATTGGAATATAAATAAAGTAAGAAATTGGATATTACTTAGTGACAGTATGAAGTTTGTTAGTAGCCATGTGTGTATCACTTTGCACTTACCAAATTAAACATTACGGCATCAAAACTGTCGTCTGGGAACGGAATTGGCGGCATTGTTGCTTCAACCACTTCTTTTACTCTTCCCGATTCAATAGAGTCAGCAAGTTTGACCTTTGCCTTTTCTAGCATGCCTGGCGAAGCGTCTAACAATGTCACGTGTCCGACGCCATATTCGATTAAAGCCTTTGCGTAATTTCCGGTTCCACAGCCTGCATCAAGGACGTGTATATCCTGAATAAAAATTACGTTTTATATTGTATAACATTGTTCCAAACTGACACCAATCTTCCTGCAATCTAATCCAGTGTCTAGATAGCGTTTTGAGCGTAAAAACAATTTGTTCAAAATTTGAACTTTCTATAATGATGTCGTATCATCTTTAATAAATTATTGTAATCTTTCATCGTAAATACTTGTGCCTTCCAATCTAAACTTATGCTTACATAATCCACGAAAATATGTGTCAGAGAAATAATGATGATTTTTCAGTAATGATCAAAGACTTTTTTGAAACAGATAAGTCAGAAGAGCACAAACAATGACCTACTTTCAAGGGTTTTCCACAGTGTAACTGCATCATGGCCGCCATGACATCCGAGCCCATAGCAAACCGCTGGTTGTCATAGTTACGTGACACGTTGTTATAATCTTCGTACTTGCTCATCTCTGAAATTCAAATTACAATCTCAACAACATATAAAATACTTGCCTTAAAGGGTTAAAGGCCCATTATGCCTTACACATTATTATTTTTATTTCTCAAAAACATTCTGTTTTTGGTATCTTGTAAAGACAGTTTCCAAAAATACTGACATATACTCGTAGATGAACTATCTTTGCTTGTTTTGCAATTGGTATAATTTAAGTGAATGTGTATTTTGTATGGAAGTCAAAATACTACTTTGTTTGCATTTTGCTATCTTTACGGTACATAACTGAACAATCAACACTACTTTCTTCAGCTGTTTAACGTTAAACATGCTCTAAAGCAGTTATGAAAACATTATTCAACGCATGTTTGACATTTCTAAAGAATTTAATAAATGTGTATTTCTGAGGCATAATGTGCCTTTTAAAAAAGCTATTTTTAAAGAAATATTTTGACAAGATTAATTTACAACAATGTTTACTGTTTCCTTATTCTTATGTTCGAAAGAGTTGTAACAAAGATTGACCACATCAACTTAAATTTTGTAAAATACAAGCTGCAGCTTAAAATTATATTAACTTAAACAACTTTTAAGAAATGTTGACAGACGAATACTGTTTAGGCAATTAAAAGTCAGATTGTGAAGATTAGTACATTGCTATGCAACGTTACTATGTAAATAATAACAAAGCGCTGTACAATTTTAAGGGACATCACTTAAATTCACTATACATGTTAATATACGTTATATTACACGGAAATCACAACAGTTAATAATCTGGCATCCGATAGCACGTTTGTCCCAGGATTACTAGTAATCTGTATTCGTTTTTTTTTTTTTTTGATTTTTCAGCAACATAGGTTGCCCATTTATTTTCCCCGTAATTGGTGCAGTGGTGTCGGAGAGCCATCCCCTACTGTACCTTACATTATTAAATCATTTAAGTGACATTAAGCTCATTTTTCTTCAATGCCAAGTTGAGTTTTATTGACTTCTATAAATTTCAAGATTGAATAATAATGGTGCTTGACAACAGTTGATATAAGAAAAAGTTTTGGTTAAAATACATATCTGCCTAAGACTGTCCCATTTTTTTATTAAATAGAATTTTTTCTCTCGACAGATATTTCCAAAAAAAATCTTTGAGCCATACGAGTTACGGAATCTAATTAAAAACTGAAAGGAATCATGGCAAAAATGTAAGGCTATTTCGACTTTCACCTGTTTATTCACTATTTGCCTTTGGATGGACATAATGTCACTTTAACTAAATAAGATACAATATTGATATGCTAATATAATCATTAATAGCTAAAATGTTTTTTTTTTGTGAATTTCTAAAGTAGTCTATAATTGCTGAATTAACATTTTCCTTTATTCTTTGAATTATATATGCGAAAGAAGACAAAGTAAAGATAACCTCGTTTTAAAACAAAATACTTAAGATATTAATACACAGAAGTGTTGCATATTCATGTAAGTTATTGAATTTAAAGCAACAAGTATATGGAAAAGACAAAAACAAGTTTGAGGTTAAAATTCATCTCATTCAAAGGAAAATGTTTTCATTTACCTATATAAGTCTTCACTAAAAAGGAAAAAAAGAAAAGGTTGTTAGTGTAAATTTGGAGGATTTACTTCCAAATTATTGAAAATCTTAAAATATTAGTAAAGGTCAGTTGATGGATGGTCTGTAAGGAAAGCGGAGTGTCTTAATGATACTTATAACTAAACAAGAAGTGTCTACTACTTAAGGATATTAATCATTAAACAGTCTCACTAACTTACTAAATTTTTAAACATTTACCAAGAGCGTTCAAATTTTTCATATTGAAACATCTGTTTGGCACTGTATTTTTCAGTAGTATAACTAGAAACTATTTGTTTCTTGAAATTTTCCAAAGAAGGTCTTCTTTTCTTCAATCTTTTATAGTATATGTACTGTTTTGCTAGCAATATAATATTATTTAGGATGATTTTTATATTAATATTCCCAAATAAGATATCAAAATTACTCCAATTAGTGAAACTTATATTACATTTTTCTTTGATATATGATTTTAATTGTTGTCAAAACCGTTTAATAATTTCACAATAATGAATCACAAAACAAATGTATTAAAGTTTCTGGCTCATGTTGGCAGAATATACAGTCATTTTCTCTAAAAAATATTCTTTTTTAAGAAGAAAGTTTCTGGCTAAAATTCTATGGTTGATTCTGTATTGAAACCAGATCAGTTTTGGGTCTTTTGTTACTCTTAAAACATTACCAGATCTGTATTTCTTAAAGGCCTTTGGTTTGCTGTTATATACGTAGATTCAAAAACGTTACTCATTGGTCAATTACCCAAACCATCGATTGTTTCTGTTGCTTATTGGCAATTATTACAGTTATCGTGACTGAGTATTTTGTATGGAAGTCAAAATACTATTTTGTTTACATGTTGCTACTTTTACCGCCAATAACGTGTCATTCACTTTCTTTATGTAATGAGCATAATATATATGCGCCACAACATTACGTTATAATACTCGTGTTTGCTCTTTCTAAAGAATGAAAATATCAGTTGTTTCTGTGGCAATGTGTGCAGGTTTGTTTGTTGTTGTTTTTGTTGCCTTAAACCATTGTTGTAACGTTTCGGACAGATTTTTTTTATAGATGTTTAATCCAATATTTGGTCACGAGCAGGGTGGTCACCACTTTGAATAGTCCGTTTAATGACAGCGTGATCTAATTTATAAACGAAAAACGCATGATAAAGTGATAAACCAACTTCATGGTCTCGACCTAGTCCAACTAATTGTACTGCGCGACGAGATATTGCGCTATTTTCGTGTCTGGGCAATATATTTAGCGAGATTCTGCCCCAGAACGAAAATATCTCAGAATCAAGCTTTGGCACGTCAATATATTTTGACTAGGTCTCGACCATTCTCTGTAGATATGTCGATGTCGCCATGGAGCTATTGCCACATAACAGTCTGATCGTTATACCATAACTGTATCTCATGGTAAGACTTAACAATGGTTTTCAGACATCTTTATTTTTTCTTATCTTTACCCAATGTATGAATTGTAAGGGAAAAAGCTTATGCATGCACATGTACATGTTTCTGACTATATAAATAAAATTTACTTGACCTGACTTGACCTCATCGCATTATACTAGCTACAGCGTACCAAACAATTTTTAAACGTTTGGTTTAATTCAGTCCGTTTGTAAAATGTACACCGTGTGCTGTTAAGATAAAAATTTCGTTTTTAATGATCAAAGAGAGGTAATTTTATGATAATTTTACCATTATTGGCGAGATAAATGAGCCGAATGCCTGCTGTGATCTATAGACAAAAACTGATTATTTCCTATTTAGAACTGAAGGTTCAGACAGGTTAATTAGGAAGCGCAAAACTACAGGAAACATAACATTTCCGCCCCTGGCGCATCGGTATGTATACAGTATAAAATACTATAATTATATACATGTGTGACATCTTTATCTCTCTGACCTAGTTTAAAATATGAACCTGCATAAAACTCCCCAGACCACGCGGTCTTTCAAAATACAATGAACACGTATCAGTATAACAGTTTTTATTCTTGGAAGAAAAGGGTAGAACAAAGATCATGATCCCCGTACTGTGTACAGCAGATATATATATTATATATATACATGTGTATACAGTGCTTAGGTGTTCAAAAAATGTGCCCATTAAATCTGCAACAACTGTGACAACTAATTATAATTAATTAACTGACAAGGAAAGAAAGATGATTAGAATAGATAGTTACTGACAAATAACTCTTTATCTGAACTTCTGCAGAAATGACATTAAGTAAAATATCCAACTTACCTAGATAGTATGTTTACAAATCGCAAACTTCAACACTTGATTTACCTCCCTTGGTTTGGCGGGGTGTATCTAGAGGCAAAATAACATCAAGAGGCTACCAGCCTACCAATGATATATCATACTCACTGCATGTGACTTTTAAAACAGATTTAAAAACTTAATTTTCGTAATAAATAAGGCGTGGAAACGGCGTTTTAATTAAGGTCCGAAAAATGTATCTTTGTACCAATGATTTTCCAATGTCAACGTTCAGATTTAACTTCTAGCCATTAAGCAGACAAAAAAAGTCGATTATATAATTATAATTATTTTTGTTGCTGGTCGTTAGATCGCCTGACCAAAATCATAACCACATTGCAAAAGCATATATTTGAGATTTAATTTAAACTTGTCATGTCAAGTGTGTTTCAAATATTGCTAATATGTGGTATAAATCATTAAAGTATTTAGCAGCCAAATAAAGACTTGTCCAAAATAGGTATATTTCTCCTAAAAAGCTAATATTTAAATTTTCTTTTGTATCAAACTCTGGCCTGTAATTAGAAAAGAATTAATTTTTTTATTTTCTCGCAGTTTATAATAAAGAAAGAATCTAGATTTACAAAGAATTTCGAATCAGCATTCAGTTGGAGTTGCCGTTCACTGCAATTAATATACATGTAAAACTCGGAAATAAGTTTTCATGTATTTTATCATGGACTATAATTAAAGTCCGTGATTTTATCAAGTTTGGATTGTTGAATTGGCCTTAAAAAATATCAACTCAAATAATGAAAAAATAAATCTTAAGATCACACGCAAACAAGGATCGAGGAAGTTTTTTTTTTAAAATTGTGTATTTTATTGAGAATAAGATCAAATTATTTTTAATAATGTCATAGAATTTACATTGTACACCATAATATACATGTAAAACTAGGAAATAAGTTTTCATGTATTTTATTATTTTATCATGGACTATAATTAAAGTCCGTGATTTTATCAAGTTTGGATCGTTGAATTGGCCTTAAAAATATCAACTCAAATAATGAAAAAATAAATCTTAAGATCACACGCAAACAAGGATCGAGGAAGTTTTTTTTTAAATTGTGTATTTTATTGAGAATAAGATCAAATTATTTTTAATAATGTCATAGAATTTACATTATACACCATAATTATTTCATCTGAGTTCTTTTTAAACAAATGTGTTCAGATTTATTTTAACTGGTATTAATTCTTCCCAGAAAATTTGACTTACAGATTCAATCAAACGGAGTCTGCAATTTTCATGTTATTCTATTGTGATTAAAGTTTCCGATAAAGGGATCACATTTTATCCAGATATTTATACTTCACAACAGCAGGTCAAGTGCTGTGTGGCAGCTGTAAAATGTTGCCCCATACTTCACTTCTGTGTTTTTATATTTTTCTGGTGCTTCCAACATTTTTAAGTGTTGAAAATTAAGTACCGCTCTAGCCGGTGCTAGGGGCCACGAGAGTTGCACCTTACCATTAATGGTTTTATCCCTCGATCATTTACAGACTTAATCGAACCGAGTCTGCAATTTTCATGTAATTTTGTTGTGATTAATGCTTCCGGGGGATCACACATTTTAAAATATCTAGATATTTTCACATAGCTGAAGGATCATGCCAGCTTTGAACAACAAAATTTCCACAATTACCCACTATACACAAGTATATACATGTATATAAGTTCTGTACCACGCCTCGATAGAATTAGAGGTCAAATGTCGCATTTTTATATGAATTGCAATAGTGGTGTTCTTCCTTAAGTTTTAGTGTCTTGTTTCATATACGCACGTGCCGTAAAAATAAAGTTTCTTCATTCTATTAAATTTGATCTGATTCCAGTTTTAACCATACTTTTTTGCATTATTTCTTATTATCTATTTTTTTGGGTATAGTGTATCTTCCAGATAATGTAGGACAAATTATATTTTTCTTTAACCTTGACCTCACTGCATTACAATATTTACCAATTAGGCTGGAAAAAAGTATAAACATGGCAGCCGTGCGCGATTTAGGACATCGAGGGAACGGTGTAGATCGCGTTCCAAGACCGTTTGTCATTGGCGTGGCAGGTGGTACCGCATCAGGAAAGGTAAATGTGCGATCTTTTGTTTTGAATTTGCGCATCGAATTAATAAATAAGCAGGTTTTAATCTCAAGTGTCGTGTATTTCGGACATGGCATTTTCGGATCAAATAAAGAATTTTAAAAGATGTCTACATAGACTTAAAAGTAAGTGCAAGTCAGATCAGGACTTGAACAAGGGACCTCAGCAGAGTTACAAATGAAATTGCTGAATGAAAACATTGTACTATTTGTAACTGGCAAATGAAACATTTTTGCCCAAATTGATCATTCTTTACTGTGTGTCATGTTCCAACAGTAATTAAATTTGTTCTCATTTAAATCGGTTATGGGAACAAATGCCACTTATCTTTGGCTTGACGGCAATCTCCTGGATAAGACCCCTATGTATATTTCAGAAGTTAAACTTGTATATACATTGTAATACACTAAAGAAAACGGAATGAACCTTATATATACTCCTGGTTTAGACCCCGGATATAGCTGACTTGACAGCTAATGTATATACTATTAGGCTGTCTGGCCCCAAATGTCATGGAGAAAAAAAGCTACATCCAGGAATAGACACCGGGAATGAAACCAGGAGTAATACAAGGTTCATTCCATTTTTAGTTTATTATATACAAGACAAGTTTTACTCCTGAAAAATACATACATGTAGGGGTCTAATCCAGGTCAGGCATTCGGCACCTTTTCTTGCCAATGATGAATAATGATCAGGACTCTGATCTGCAGACTTTGGATTATTGTTTTGCAGATCTACAGACTGAGCTAATGCATATTTTCTCATTCCTGCTCGCAGAACCATATCTCACGGTTCAGAACTGTACACTATTTAGGGGAGAAGATGTGTAAGCGGCCGGATACATTTAGCTCAGTCGGTAGAGCCGCGGTATGGTATTCCGAGGGTCCCGGGTTCGAGTTTCGGTCAGGCTGCACATTTTTCTCACCCTGTGACAAATATATATCTGGCATTTATTGTGTACCTTAATGCTATTGTAATCTCACTACCTGATTTAAGTATTAAAATAATTTTTATCTAAACTACAATGTAGATGCTAAGGTTTATATGAACTTAGTGTGTCTTGTGTTTCAAATATTGGTAATACCGTAAAATTCCTAATAAACGCCCCTCCCCTAATAAAGGCCCCCAGGCCTTTTGATAAGGAAAACAATCTACTCATCAGTGCTGAACTCATAATTAAATCCATATTTTCATTCAAATCTTTAAGAATCCATTTTATTTTATAGTAAACAACAATATGACATTGTATAATATGAACTTTAAAACCTTAACACTTTTTAATGTTATTACCAACACTTGCTAACACTAAATGTATTTACAGTGATTTTTGGAGTTAGGAAAAACTGTGTTGTAATAATAGCCCCCCTTTTGGAAAATGTTTAGCCCCCGGGGGCATTTAATAGGAATTTTACGGTATGTGGTATTCACGAATTGCAGTTTATAAGGTATTTTAATGTCAGTGAAGGTTTTATGCTTTGATATATGTATGGGCATATATATTATCATATTAATTAGGTCTTTTGTTTACAGTCAACAGTATGTGAGAAGATTATGCAACAGTTAGGACAAACAGATGTTGATAGGAGACAGCGTCAAGTTGCTATTATTGGACAAGACTCATTTTACAAAGTATTAAATGATGCTGAAAAAGAACAGGCAGCTAAAGGACAGTTTAATTTTGACCATCCAGGTAAGTTTTAATAACAAAAGCATGTTTGATTATTCTGTGAACATTTTATGGGCTTTCTGTCATACTTATAACTGTATGGATGGATTAGTAATTTAGTTGTCATGTAAAGAAATAAAATTTTCACTGATAAGGGTGATCAAGATCACTGAATATCAGTTATCTAAATATGTCGATATAACTTCTGCTAGGGTCACATGTTATCTATAAGGGAGTTTGCACAAGAGTTTTTGACAATTACAAGTATGTAATCTTCCATTTTATACGAAAATATTTTATTTGAGAGTAATTAATGCACAAATGGAAGAATTAATTGTATTTATATTTAGTCACAGTGTGACAAATTGATTAATTAAAAAAACCAAACTGTGTAACATACGTGAAAATTGGATATCAATTTCTGTCTTGGTGCAGCCATGCCAAAATCTCATTTACAATGTATGTTTACTTACTTAAAAATAGTAAAATTGTGTTGTTTCCATTGAACCAAAAAATTGCTCTGGATAACAAACATGAATACTGTTACTGTACATAATGAGAATTGTAAGGTTCTGGAACAAAATATGCTGCAGGGATGGAAAATTCTTTTCAGAGCCACTCGTCCTGCAGGAGGAGTGGCTTCAAATTTCTACTTGTCGAGCATGCTTTGCTACTCGTCCGATTTTGATTTGATTTTCGAGATAAACTTTGCTATTGCAATGGAACAGGAAATAAAGCTTGTGTGTTAGATTAGCACACTTTTAAAAGGATTGTCTGGCACATTCCAGTCACAACGGTATCCAATTGACAATGCTTTTAGAGCTTTATAAAGTGTGCAAATTATAAATAACCTAAAACACAAGCTTTGATTCGGGTGTTCCATCGTTTTAATGTAAACACACTGATTTAGAGAATTCTAGCTTTCTATTACATCAGCAAATTATTGCTTTTCCTGCGGAACAAGCATACAACAATTTTGTGCTCGTCCTGCATTGATGTCTACTTGTAAATACGAGCAGACGAGTGGAATTTTCGATCCCTGTGCTGCTATTTTAAGCATGATTTCTATCATTCACAGTGGTTCTTCTCTTTTCCTCTTTGTGAGTGCATATCATTGAGAAGGCACAGGGCATCAGCAGATAATTTAAGATCCACTGCAACATGAATGACTGCAAGTTTGCATGCTCTGGGCTAGGTTTAAGGCAGCATAACTTAAGTTTGTAAGAAGTTAGCTGCTGATGTTCTGTCTAAAGCTGAGGGTAGTAGTCCTAAAATGTGGCAGGGATAACTAGAAAAGTGTGCTAGGGCACTTGAGCCCCTAGCACAGTTTGGCAGCTTGAAAGGCAGGCCCTTTGCTTGCATAACAGCTCTTTCCAAGACTACCTAATCCTTTTCATATTGTCTTGGGCTAATACTATACATTTAGGTTCTTATTAGCCGCCTTATGGTGACCGACTTTTGGCCCAAAAATCATATCTTTGGCTGATACTCTGGAAATTGCATGGAGTTAAATCATCGCCACTTTGTGCTTCATGACTGGTGACATGTCTGGGGATTGTACCTGCTTTTTGTGCCTTAAAGGGCGGATGGACCTTCATTTAGCATAGAATACATACATATACACAATGTTTTTCAGGCAGGTTATGTATAGCATTATACACTTCACAGGTAGACTTAAACTTAAATTTTGAGAAAAACAATGCAGTATTTTTGCATAGGTTGAAGAAAAGTTGAATTTGAATTAAAGGGGGAAATAGGTGATTTATATGATCATTCTTAAGTTAGGGGGCAAAAAAGTCCTTGATTGATATTTTTTTCTATATTTCAGAGGCCTATGATTATGACTTTATGTTTGAAACAATGTCAAAAATTGTGCAAGGGAAAACAGTGGAAATACCATCATATGATTATGTCACGAATTCCAGGTAAGCACACCCTGTTTCATGTATGATAATATACTGGTGCCAGGTAGTCTGTTTGTTATGTACTGGTATCATTCACTCTTGTGGAACACTTTGAATATTAAGGGTTTTCTTTGCAGCTTCAGCACAGTGATTTTTTTACACATTTTGGTGTATATCTAAAATCTTGAAAACTTTACAGGTACTTCTTTAAACCTGAACAAATTGAAGCCTTGTAGATTTATTTCTTGGTCATGTGTGCTTTACATAAATTAATCTAGGCAATCACACACATCGGCAAAAACAGACTATTGGTTAGAATGAGAAACAATAATGTTTCCAACGGTATATTATACATGTACTTTCATTTTCAAAATTACCCCTCATAAAAGACCACTGTTTCCCACATGGAAGAAGTTCACATATTGGATACCTACTGGGAAAATATTAATTTCAAAACTGGGCTTTAAAGAAAGTTTGTTTAACTTTCTAGATAATCTAATATATTGATGATTTAATTAATTAAATTTAAGCCAGCAAAAGTTTTACTTTTTCCATAGAAACTTTTTCTCAGGCTGAAAAAAATGTATCTTTGGTAATAATTCTTATAAGACTGCATTCAAATCCTGGAATGATGGTTTTAAATCAGCATTTACAATTTTACTCGAAAGTGTTTTGTTATATGATACAATCTAAATTTATTAATGATATTGAATTAGACATTATATCAACATTCAGCTTTATTAGCATTGATTTTGTTCTGTAGGAAAAGTTCGAATCTTGCCATTTATCCGGCCGATGTGGTCCTGTTTGAAGGGATTTTGGTATTTTATTGGCCAGAGTTACGGAACATGTTTCACATGAAATTGTTCGTCGATACGGATCCAGATACCAGGCTAAGTAGAAGAGGTAAATATTCCATTAACAGATTGGTAAAACTAATATGTAATAGACAGACAAATGCCTGTATGCATTTGTGTTAATATTTTATTCATCTTAACTCCCTTGGACAAATCACTTGCCTACTTTTTATTTTGTTTTAAGTGTAAAAAAGTCAAACTTACTGTATATATAATGCATTTGAGTGAAAGTTGCAAAAATGCTAGATATAAGATGTTCAAGCATATGCAATTAAAGTCAGAGAAATGAGACTTGATGGTACAATTGAGTGGCTTGCACCTTGCTATCAAAACTTGGAAAAGACCTTGATTTATTTCATGTGAGAAGGCTTTCAAACTTGATAACAGAAGTTTTAAGGTACAAATCTATGCGGTTTTACTGATCTTCCAGGCTGTGCTTGAAATAAAAGGTACACATGAGGTCTTCTTGTGCCGGCAAAGCTTGACGGTCGCCGTATGACCTTAACAGTGCTTATGCGACTTGAAATCCATTAAGTACGCAAAACAGACTTGATGGAAAATATTCTGACATGCTTACTAGCTTATTTTGCTGAGAAAATTAAAGGCTCTACCATTCTTGATGGTTTGATTGCAAGCAAAGAGTTTACAGAAGACTATTATCCATACATCTTAAAAGAAAAATATTATTCTGCATCTCTAAATAGGATACAAAATATTATTCTGAACCATTTACCAATGATTTTATGCATGTGCCATTCACTCATAAGGGAAAATATTGGCATATTTCTTTCATACATGCATTTTAAAGTTATTCTTTTTTAAGACTATATCATTTGAAGACTACAGGTATCAAAAGTATTGCTTTTATACACTGTAATCACTACATAGGAAATATTAACTTGCTCTTGAATTGACTCTTTACTGATGTATGTGGTTTAGTATAAGTAAAAGTTTCCATCAGAAATAACAACTTGGAAGGATCAAATAATATTTTTGAGAGCCACTCATTCAAAACAAACATAGTGCGTTTGCGACCAGCATGGATCCAGACCAGTCTGCGCATCCGCGCAGTCTGATCAGGATCCATGCTGTTTGCTTTCAGTTTCTCTACTTGTAATAGAGTTGGTAAATGAACAGCATGGATCCTGATCAGACTGCGCGGATGCACAGGCTGGTCTGGATCCATGCTGGTCGCAAACGCACTACGTTGGTTTTGTCATGACACGGCACATTTGTCCCTTAATTATATGATCGGGCTACAATTAACCAATCGCCCTGCTGTTCTACTTGTTAAATCCAAGTATTTATCTTTGTAATGGTTATTAAATATAGAATTTCGGTTATATTTTGGTGAATATAAAATTTTAAAGTAAAAAGTCAAACATAAATGAACATAATTTCTGTTGAATTTGTATATGCATGACCATAACGTACTTAATGAAATTGTGTTTTGTTTGTTGTAGTTTTAAGAGACACCAAAGAGAGATGTAGAGATCTGGATCAGACCTTGAATCAGTACACAAACCTTGTTAAACCTGCTTTTGAAGAGTTTTGCCTTCCAGTGAGTATGGGCAATGTATATGTAATGCTCCACTAGGAAAAATGATGTTTATCTTAATTACTGTCTTAAATTACTAATTCATTCAATAGAACATATTAATATATTAATTATATAATAATATTAAGTACAGTTTAACCTTAAAACTGCTGAATTTCTTAAATGGACTTGTCTGATTTCTATTTTGGAACAGTCCATTATCAATTTTAAGGGATATTAGGCTGAGAATTTGAAGCTGGCCAGCCAACAGCATAGAGCCTGGTCAGACTGCAGACCAATCTCAATCACTTTCCACTTCAGCCGGGTAAAGGTTAAAGGATTTTGTATGAAAGTCAAAATACTTATTTTACTTTTTAATAATTTTTTGTTAATTTAATAGAGTGAATAAGATTTTAAATGGAAGGTCTGTAAAACAATGAATAATTATGTAGGTCAGGTCTTTTTCCCCCTATCCCACGGGTCCGAATATGGGCCCCATTCCCCATCCAAATTATGATTTTTTCTCCCAATCCCAAAAAATACTCCCAATCTAGAAGTTAGCAATTTGAAAGAAAAAGTACCGCAATTTCAATTTTCGTAAGGCGAAATAGCGTTACGGAATATATTCATGTTTTGCAAATAAAAACAGGATTTTTGATTGATATCAGTTTAACATTTTAGCCTGTCCTTGTATTTTTGACAAAAAAAGCTGAACAGTTTAAGTAAGATTTATTAGTCCCCTACCGGTTTAACCGGAGGGGACTTTAGGTTTACCCTCCGTCCGTCTGTCCGTCTGTCTGTCCGTCTGTCTGTCTGTCCGTCTGTCTGTCTGTCTGTCAGTCCGTCAGTCCGTCTGTCCACAAAACTGGATCCCGCGATAACGCAAAAAGTACTGAAAATATTTTTATGAAACTTGATATATGGATAGATGGCAGTATGGAGATTATGCACGTCTTTTTTTTTTCTTCCTATGTTGAAAATTCTGGTTGCTATGGCAACAAATAGTCTGAAAATATGGCAAATTTAGCACATAAACTGGATCCAGTGATAACTCAAAAAGTACTGAAAATATTTTATGAAACTTGAAATATTGGTAGATGGCAGTCTGGAGATTATGCACATCTTTTTCTTTTCTTCCTATGTTGAAAATTCTGGTTGCTATGGCAACAAATAGCCTGAATTTCAAGATTTCTGATTTAAATTTTTCAGCTTTTTCACTATATGTTCTTTATTTCTTAAGGTGTTTACTTCAAACTTTAAATATAAGTTTCTGGTCATCAACCACATCATATGTGACAAGGCTTATAACTCTAGCACAAAAAATATCAGTATTACCTCCCTTGAACTTAGATTTTTTAGGGGAAAAAATGTTGTCTTTTTTAAATAACTTCTTTATTTCCTAATGTATCTACTTCAAACTTCATATATATGTTTCTTATTATCACTCGACATTTTTGAGAAGGTTAAATACTCTAGCAAGACTATTTCCAGAATTATGTCCCCCTTGAACTTAGATTTTTTTCGAGAAACTGGTATTTTCACTCCAACTTCTTCATTCCTTATAGGATTTACTTTAAATAATATGACAAGGTTGTATAAACATAATTTCCTTACTAAGCATGGAAACTTAACACATTACTGTGATATAGACAAACTTATTTTATTATGTTTTGTGGTTGATATTTTCAAATACAGACTTCATCCTCAAATTCATTATAAATGGCAATATACAGGAGTGTATGACAATTAAAGAACTTTTTGAGGGACCGGTAGGGGACTACTGTATTGCCCGCAATACTATCAAATGCTTGTTAAGATTTATTTTAACAATTGTAACACCTTGAATGCTAGCATATTTTCCTAAATTGGCAAATTTCACGATAACTTTTTTTTGGTCATTCTAAATCACTTAGAAATTTATCAACAATTATATCAAGCAGCATTTTATAAGAAAATCCAAATAATTCATCCATATTTTTTCTTTCCAAATTTGAAATACTAATGGAAGATGTGCCTATTGTAGACCCATCCACTTCAATAGTTGTTTGCCCTTTCTAAAGAAGTTTATTTAAGAAATAATATATCCCAAAATGTGTTTTTTGTGTCGCCTCTACGGAGTAGTGGCGACATATAGGGATCACTTCTCCGTCGTCTGTCTGTCCGTCTGTCTGTCTGTCCGTCCGTCCGTCACAAAACTTGTCCGGACTACTGCTCATAAACTACTGGTGCAATTTCATCCAAACTTTACAGGAATGATCAGTACCAAGTCTAGTTGTGCATATTGTCAGCATTTTCCGGTTCAGTGATTTTTGTCAGAGTTATGGCCCTTTAATAATTTTTAATTTTAAAGTTTGTCCGGACTACTTCTCTTATACCACTAATGCAATTTCAATGAAACTTTACAGGATTGATCTGTAGCTCAAGTCCTTGCGCATATTGCACGGGTTTTCCGGTTGAATGATTTTTGGCCGAGTTATGGCCCTTTGACAAAAAGGTGTTTTTTTCTGTCGTTGCCAGATACAAAAAAGCTTGTCCGGATTACTCCTCATAAACTACTGGTGCAATTTCATCCAATCTTTACAGGAATGATTAGTACCAAGTCTAGTTGTGCATATTGTCAGCATTTTCCGGTTCAATGATTTTTGTCAGAGTTATGGCCCTTTAATAATTTTTATTTTTAAAGTTTGTCCAGACTACTTCTCTTATACCACTAATGCAATTTCAATGAAACTTTACAGGATTGATCTGTAGCTCAAGTCCTTGCGCATATTGCACGGGTTTTCCGGTTGAAATGATTTTTGGCCGAGTTATGGCCCTTTGATAAAAAGGTATTTTTTTCTGTGTGTTGCCAGATACGCAAAAGCTTGTCCGGACTATTCCTCATAACCTACGGGTGCAATTTTATCCAAACTTTACCGGAATGATCAGTACCAAGTCTTGTTGTGCACTGTCCGTCTGTCTGTCTGTCTGTCTGTCACAAAATTTGTCCCAACATGAAATTGGCCATCATGAGGCGACACATGTGATTACTGATCGCTCTTGTATTGCTCAATAACATCACTATTTGGAGTTCGGATGCGGGGAAGTATATCACAAGGGCGTAGCCCGAGTGATATAATGATGCGCATCCGAACGACATACAGTCATTTTATCAAGCAATAAAATCACCGATTTGGATATTCGATTCTAACACGACATCAACAAAAAAATGCTGCCGTACCTGATATTAAGCTAAATTGCGCCTGATTTGTTTCCGTACTTATTGTCAACGCGTCACATTTTTTGTGGTTATGTCACGTGTATAATGATTACGTCACATGTCAAAATATAGAACGTCAAACAGTGACTTTATAGCATAATAATACACACTGTCGGTTCTTCTATGTTCAATAGGGAAAAATGCAGGTCGTATTAGAATATGTGATAAACATCTAACGTGCTCTAAAACAACATTATTTAAACATTATTAAATTTGTTTGCACTTTCTAAAGATGGTACTTTGTGCCTTCAATTTATATCAAGAAATGCAAAATGTGATTGAATGCGATACTATAAGTTTTTTATCATAATTCCCTGTGTTTTGTTTAACAAACATTGAATTTGGCAGGTTTTTATGAAACTCAATAAGTATTTCCATTTTATTGTATATAAAAAAGCTTAATTTAATTGTACCGCTCTTTTACAAAAGAAGGAAGCCAAAGATGATAAATAGACAAAAAATATCTTTATTATCAACAACATTTCTAAGGCTTGACAGATTTTGATGAAACTTTACAGGAATGATCCTTGCCAAAGCTAACAAATAGAGAAAAAATGTCTTTTTTATCCATAACTTTTCAAAGGCTTGGCTTTTTTTGATGAAACTTTACATTTCCTTGTAAAAAAATGTCTAAAATTGTTTTGTCTCGAGACTGCATACCTCAAGCCGCAGAACATGATCAATCCTTAGCTAAAACCCTCGGCATACTTTTTAATGAAACTCAATAGGAATAATGAACTTTAAACATTCTTGGTTTAAGTTTTGCCTGAAGGATCAATCCTTACAGTTTTTTGCAAGTAATCACTTGAAACTTAACATGATTATACCATTAGAATTGTAATTGAAATGTCATTATCCAAGACCTTTAAGCTCTGGCTTGGATCTAAGGAAGATTATTGCTGGATAAGTTTTGATTACCATTTAACCTTTAATATAAATTATATACCTAATTAGTAGACATGAAAATGCTTTAGCAAAACATAATCTTTACTCATTTCAGACCAAAAAATATGCTGATGTGATAATCCCACGTGGTGCAGACAACACAGGTACATTATGATAAAAATTATGTTTATCATCATGTAAAAACTTTTAAAGGGACTCCACTGAGGTATTTTGACATGATGGGACTGAAAATATTTTTTCCAGATAAATGTACCATTTGATGTAGGTTTAGACCACTAATCTTTGTGCAAACTTTCAGATCATTCGCGCACTTTGTTTTTCCAGAATAATTATTCAAATTGTAAAAAAATGACCCAAAATGAAAAGCGTTTAAACGCTTTTTACTCAAATCGGGCTAAGAAAAAAATAAAAATACGATTTTCAATTTATTTCAAAGTATATTTCTTAACTATCTTTGCATATATTTCTGTTTAAAGTGCCCCTGCTCATTTATGTAAGGAATTCAAATGTTATGTTTTTAGGCTTTTAAACCTCAGTGGAGTTTTAAATTATAAAACACTAAATGTTTTCACTTGGAAATTAACACATGAGTTTAAATTGTATATGTTGGCAACTTTCCAAGACATTATTAAGTCGTAGAATCATTGTGTTTCATTTTACTGAATTATGTCCCCTGTTCTGAGTTTTCTTTATTGTTTTTGTTTCATTTCCACAAACCCATTCTGTTTGGTAGTTTAATTTTCTAGTTTCAATTTGAAATTTCAATTTCGCTACATTTACACAGACTTTGTACACTATTATATATTTTTTTGTCCTGTTTGTTTCAGTTGCAATTGATTTGATAGTTCAGCATATCCAAGAATTGTTACGTCCCCAACCACGTGAAACTACCAGACGAGCCAGGCATAATTCTGATTCATTTGTTGGAAGGCCACACTAGCAGTGTGTTTTAGTTTTTAATGAACTTTAAAATATTAAAACAATTTGTTGGAAAATGGTGTCAAAACAATATTGACCTGTAAGTCAAGTGCAATCATTATTGGGGTGTAAGATAGATTGTTCAAATCATGATGCATTTTTAACAAACCAAGTCATTTTTGTGCATTTTACTCCACAGTAGTGTATTTGAGTTGTTTCCCTTTGTTCGTATAGGCTGGACAATTTGTGAAGCAACATTTCTCTACAGAACCATATTTAAGTACTGAAGAATAAGGCAGTTACCTCCCTTTTATAAGATCAACCATTGGTACTTAAGGTATAAACAGTTAAAATATCTGCAAGATGACAAATTACTTTCGAAATGTATGTATTTATATATTGAACTGTAATGTTTAAGATTTTAGGACCTTGATTAAGTGATTCCAAGAACAATTTTGTTAATTTTATCAATTTTATAATTTATATATACATGTTAATCTCACAAAAAATCCAGAGATAAAATTTATAGGCGTATGTTTAGAATTTCATATAGACATAAAGACCAGATGATAATAATAGAAAACAAATTTGATGACTCTTCACCCCCCCCCCCACACACACACACTTTCCCACATGTTTTTGGTTTAAATGTTTCTGTAAACATATTTCAAGATAATGCAAAGTTTAATGGTATTTGAGTGTGTATAGTAAAGGTTTCGAAGATCTCATGTTTAGGAATTTGTCTAGATGACAGTTTCAATTGTTTTATTCTGTAAGATTTTTTTACAAATATTTATTGAGTTGGTTATCATTTTGATTAGACAGATTTTGTTATGGTTTACTCCCAATTGTTTCCTCCTCCATAGTTTGTATTTTTCATGATGTACATTACATGATTCATTCCATTGAAGATTGATTTGTTCATATATAATCTATACTCTTTCATTCATTATCAAGGTTTCTTCATGTGTATAGAAACACTTCATTTACATTGTCTCTTTTATTGTCAGATCTTATGTTGTCAGATTTATCTCAAAATTGCATTGTTTTTCATGTTTTATCTGTATTTAATTTGTGTATTCATTAATTTGTGTATTCATCTTCATTAATGTCCATTTTGTGTAAATTTTTTATTATTTGATTTAAAAATCTGTATAGGGTATAAGCTACATTGTGTTCATGCGGTGGTTGTTATGGAACATACAGTGTGACATGTACATGCCATTCCATAAAATGCACCGTAACAGCGGGCGGAATTTCGGAGGTTATGAAGTCTCATTTTGTTTGGGAAATTACATTATTTCTAAACTGTTTGATAGAAAATGAAATAAAAAGTGTCATAATAATAATAATTAAATCTATTTTTCTACGAAAGAAGATTCACATGACTGACACCTCAATTAATATTTTGATAGTTACATTGAATGATAAAGGCTACATTAAACATTAAATTTAAAAAACAGAACAATATAGTACTTCAGGCATTGAGACATCAGTATCAGGTCACATAGCATTAATGTAGGGCAAAAATGTATCAGCGGGTCTACTTTTTCAATTAAATCATTAATTGTGATCATCCATGTTTATACTTCCAATATCCATGCGCCCATTCATCAATATTATGGTGAAGTATTAAATAATCCAGATTTTCTTGCTAAAGGAAACAAGGACTTGACCCTGATAGGGTTTGAACCAATGCGGCTAGCGATCATTAGATTACTACTCCTACACATTAACCACTTTGCCATGACCGATTTGTGTATAGCCTTATTTTTTTTTATTAGTGTACAAGCTTATTTATTAGATTTGTGTATCATGTTAATTTTTGGATTTTGTATTATCTAAGCTGATGGATTTTTGATAATTTAAAATGTTGAATTTCAGTAGAATCCTTACTGTTGGAATTGTGTATAATTGTAATTGTTGGACTTCTGTGTGATCTGAGTTTTTAGATATATTATTGATGTACATGGTTTGATTTATTCACTATGTATATTTATCACACACTCATGCCGATTTTGCGACTCCGTAAATCTGATATTGCATGGCCGTGCATATATTTTGACGTGACGTCATTAGCGTTATACAAACATATGTAAAGACGCGCTAAATGTTAGCGTTATACTATAGGGTGTCAATGAAAAATGACTCTTATTTCACTTAAACCGGTTTTTATTTTGGGTATGTGATAAATAGAAAATTAAATTCGTGTAAGTTCAATACTGAATTTATTGCACTCGTTGAATAAGAAAATATTATGCTCGCCAGAGGCTCGCAAAATATAATTTTATTCAACTCGTGCAATAAATTCAGTATTGAACTTACACTCATTCAATATCCTCTATTTCTTTTTATTATTTTTTTTTTTTTAAACTATCATTATTTGATTCACCTACGTATATTTTAGTTCACATGAGCCTGAGCACAAAGTGCTCACAGGTTTGTGTTTAGAGGTGAACTTTTGTGATGGAAGTTTGTCCGTTGTATGTTTACCTAATTTGTATCTCCTCTAGAACCACTCGGTAGATTTTGACGAAACTTCACAGGAATTATTCTTGGGTTCCCCCTGTATAAGTTAAATAAATGTTTTTTTGTCTGATGCATTATCAAGTCAATAAATTTAAAAACCTTCAATGTCCAGAACTACGACAAATGGCCTGTAACATAAGCTTGTGGTCATCTGAGGTCAAGACAGTAGTATCCCTTTATTGCTCTCTATTTAGATTATAACCTATAATTCCTTGTGGTCAAAATTCTGGCCATCCCTCGAGTTAATAAGCTGATTTATACTTGTATTAGAAAACACTTTAAAGTCTTCATTATATAGAACTTTAATGTCCATGACTTTTATTTTTGTAATGTAGCATTGCTATGTTAACCTTTACAGAAGTGGCATATATCATATCCTCCAGCTTCAGGTCATTAAATATACATGTATACAATTATAGAGTTACATAGTTAAACAAATATAAGCTTTCTAGTGGGAAATAACAATGCCAAGAGCTTAGAATTCAGGGATTTTTTCCAAGATTTTGGGAATACGACCCATATCCATGGAATTGGGAATTTCAGCGATGTTTTGTTCAAAATTGAGAAAAAATGCATGACTGAATTTTTACAGTGATTAAATGGATGCAGACAACTACTGTCTATGATGGCATCTTCAAACATTTAAGCACTATTACAGTGAAGAAGCCTTTATTTTCAAAAGATTTTTTGAATTTTTATTCAATATTTTTATTTTTTAACTTTCAATTGGGAATTTTTTCCTGTGGATTGGGAAAATAATATACTATTTTCTATTGGGAATATGACCCAATAACGGCTATAAAATGAGCCAAAAAAATCCCTGTAATTAACAATGCCAAGAGCTAAGATATTTAGTATGTAGTATTTCCTAGCAGCCATGTTGAAATGTTTTGATAAATTATGCAGCTTTAATTAAAAATGACAACCTAAAGTGACCTAACTACTAAATTTTGCATTGAAGAATTATGACCTTTTCTAGCAATGTATCTCAGGTGAGCAAGGGCTATCATCATTCTCTTTTTACATATTCAATTGTATTGATTGTTAATATTCAACCATCATTTGTACATCCTAAATCTACATTAAACATTTTAAAATTTTTTGTGTCTAATTGACAATAAAAACCTTTTGATCACATTTTTCGTATAGCTTTTTCTTTTGAACAATGGACACTTACTGAAAAAAAGCTTTGGGTATTATATTATGCACCTGATTGTTCATCAGTCTATTAGCAGTTTTCATGGCTGGTCTGAATCTTTTGAACCGATAGAAGGAAATTAAAACTAGCGGGCAGAAATGTTTACCACAATGAGACGATTTGCAGAGTTTGGGGCTACCTGTTGGCCCTGCCATGGTGAGACTTGATTTATTTAGACTTTTAAACTGCCTGGACCTTGGATGTCACATATCATCATAAGGATTAATATAGAGATAAAAATCATAAAACAAGTTTCTTGATTTGGTCTGTCTAGAGTTAAAATTGGTCTCTGTCTTATATAGATTTATATTATTTTATAAAAAGATGTTTTTTTCACAAAACACAAGTCAAAGAACTTAGATATATATTTTTTTCTATTTGACTTTTACAATTTTATTCAACTTAAGACCAAAGGTAAAGAAATTTGTTTCATCATAAGGGTTACTTGGTTTTACAGTCTCATGCAGAAAATTTTAAAGCTACATGACTCAAGATGGGCTGGTTTTTCAGGTAAATCAACCTTGAGGAAATGTACATAGACTTTAAGAAAAGCAAAATTACTTACAATATAATACATTATTTACATGATATGCCCAATTAATGACTCATTTTGCTGATCTTGACAGGTTTACTTCTCATTAAGTGTGCAAAAAGTGTCGCAATTAAACCAACTTGATTATCTTCGTGCTTTATTCTCATATAATGCGCATGGCAACCAGACTGGCTTGATTCTCATATAATGCCATGACAACCAGACTGGCTTTATTCTCATATAATGAGCATGACAACCAGACTGGCTTTATTCTCATATAATGCGCATGACAACCAGACTGGCTTTATTCTCATAATATGTGCATGACAACCAGACTGGCTTGATTCTCATATAATGGGCATAGCAACCAGACTGGCTTGATTCTCATATAGTTTGCATGGCAACCAGACTGGCTTGATTCTCATATAATGTGCATAGCAACCAGACTGGATTGATATTCTTATAATGTGCATGGTAACCAGACTGATTTGATTCTCATATAATGTACATGGCAACAAGACTGGCTTGATTTTCAGATAACGTGCATGGCAACCAGACTGATTTTATTCTCATATATTGTGCATGGCAACCAGACTGGCTTGATCATCATATAATGTGCATGGCAACCGGGCTCCCTCGAATCTCATATAGTGTTCACTTTTACAACCAGACTGGCTTGGGATTCATATATTTTACAAACACAGTGTGGTAGCAGGATTATTTTAAATCATACAGTGGTCAGATATATTATGCTGCAGCTCTTAAGCTTTGATACCTTCCAAGGTTTTCTTTCTCTTAACTTTCAGATAGTATCACTAAAATACTGCTATTCTTTCTGTAGAACATAAATAAGCAAAATGAAATAATTGCTTACTTTACTTCCTAGAATAACCAGTACTGGTGTTATTAAATGATAATTCCTCTAGCAGGAATAACTTACGTACAGTTGCAAAAACAATCAAACCTATCGAAAGTCAAACAGTACAGAACTGGTATAAGTGATAGATAAGATTTTATTCAATTATATCATTTATTTTCAAAACAGATCTACATTGAAAAAATATTAGGGATGTCATCTGGAGTCCTTATATTCAAATGTTCTCATCACGATTTGTTGTCTCTGGTCAATTTTCAGATTTGATTTTAATTGATGCAACTTTCATTGAAATGTCCAAACTTTGGGAAAAAAAGTGACCGTACAAGTTGTTTTTATGCCCCGCCATATAATGTCTGAGGCATATAGTGTTACCCTGTTCCGTCATTCCGTCATTCTGTCATTCCGTCATCATCAGCTTCCGTTCATTATCTCCTTAATGGTATTACACATTCAACTCAAACTTGACATATGGATATGTCAAAGTAATGCGCAGGTTAAGTTACATTTTGGTCATGGTTCGATGATTTTTGGCAGAGTAACGCCCCTTTTCCGTTCATTATCTCTTTAACGGTATTACACATTCAACTCAGACTTGACAAATGGATATGTCATGAAAAAATACAGGTCAAGTTTTAATTTGGAAATGGTTCTATGATTTTATGCAGAGTTATACCCCCTTTACTTTGAAAATAATATGAAATTTTCAGTTTCCGTTCATTATCTCCCCAACGGTGTTACACATTCAACTCAAACTTGACATATGGATATGTCAGAGGAATGCGCAGGTCAACTACGAATTTGGTCATGGTTCGATGATTTTTAAAAGAGTTATGCCCCTTTTCTTTGAAAATGATATGAAATTTTCAGTTTCCGTTCATTATCTCCCCAACGGTATTACACATTCAACTCAAACTTGACATATGGATATATCAAAGGAATGCGCAGGTCAAGTTCAAATTTGGTCATGGTTTGATGATTTTTGGCAGAGTTATGCCCTTTTAACTTTGAAAAAAGGAAATTTTAGTTCTCATTCATTATCTCCCTAACAGTTGTACATATTCAACAACAAATTACAGATATGGATATGTCATAAGAATGCATCGGTCAAGTTCGAATTTGGTCTTCGTTGGATGATAGCTGACAGAGTTATCCCTCTTGAACTTTGAAAATTTTTAAGTTTCCGTTCATTATCTCCCCAATGGTTGTGCACATTCAACTCAAATTTGACATATAGATACATCTAAGGAATATGCAGTTCAAGTTTGAATTTGGTCGTAGTTAAATGATTTTTGACAAAGTTATTTTTCTTGAATGTTGGAAAAATTTTGAATTTTCAATTTCAGCACTCGTACTTTTGTGGAACTGTATGTACCCATTATTTTGGCTACAAATATGCATCATATGTAATTTACAAAAGGTTAACACTGAATAGTTTCAGTGCCTTGAACTTTGTAAAGAAATGGTTTGTGTTAACATTGAATAGTTTTAAGGGCTTTGAACTTAAAATGAAAAAGATAATTCATGCAAACAAATTTGGAACTAAATATTATAACATCTGAAATTTTGGTTGCATGCAGGGGCATCCGTGGCATGATGTCACATTTCTAGTTTGATAAGCTTTCATTAGGTATATTTGATAAAAAAATTCTAAATATGTAAGAAAAATAATTATTTATTAGCAAATTGAATGCTTTTATTATAAATAAAAACATTACAAACTCAAGATTGAAATTTAATACTACATGTAATTAGATACATGCACTTAGTATATAATATGAGAGTTTTAAGATCCTCGAATTATTATATCAGCTTAGAATTTTGAACCTATATTCAACGTTACATTTCATTACCCTCAAAACAAATATCCTGAGTTTTCATTTATTTCCCCTTTTTTTCAACTGGAGTTCATTGCAATTAAAATCAGTAGTAATGTTCCTTTTTATTTCATTGAAAATAAGCAAGTTATTTCCCATAGTTTAGTTTAAGTATGTTTGATTGAAAATCAAAAAGCTATTTTCTATTGTTCATCTTGAATTTAATAAATATAAGACAAAAAAAAAAAAAAAAAAAAAAAATAAAGATTAAAAATAAATAAATAAATAAAATGAAATGGTACTTTATCTTATCTATCTGTTATATATATTTCACAAGAATTATTGTGTATTTATTAAAGGTAGGTGTTTTCTATGTTTTGTATAATTTCATTATAATTGTATGTGTAAATTTATGAATATAAAATATAAGAATGATATATCGCCAAACCTGTGACCAAAGGCCACTCAAAATGGTCCTTTTATACAAGTGGTCCTTATTTGAGGGTTACTTTGTTCTGATTTATGAACAAATGAAAAAAGTGTATTTATTTAGAGCGTGTTATTTATTCAGAGATGGTCTTTAACTCGGGTTTGATTGTAACTGATAAAAATCTTTGATATGTTGGAGCAAAGATGTTTGAGCCAATCTTAAAGAGAGCTCTACTTAGGTCATAAAGGTGTTAAAATGCTGAATTTTATATTCTTACATAGAGCAACTTTGGTACATAAAATGACAAAAAAAATAATAATAAAGTAATAAACTTAAACTGTTAATGTCAAATTATTCATAGACAGACTAAGTAGTAGCTCTGATTTTAGAGGGTTGCATTTATCTATAATCAAAATTGTTTTATGTCTCATTATAGGTGACTGTGATATTCCAATACGAATGGTTGAATGAATTATTCCGGGAGCTGGCAACAATCATGTTTTTCATAATAACGGGTTATAAGTTTAAACCTGCCGCTTACAATCCGTACCTGCGGGTCCCGACAGAGGAAGAGGATGAGGAAATGGAGATGGATGAAGTGTAAATAACAAATATTTTATACTAATTTGTATCCCCACAAACAATGTTTAGGGGGGATACATAGGGACCAGATTGTTGGTTGTTCGGTTGGTCCGTCCGTCAATCGGTTCACATCCTGGTTTCTAGACGATAACTAGAGTTTGGCATGAGTTATTGTAATCAAACTTGGTATATAGCATCCTTATGTAGAAAACCTAGTAGGTATTGCATTTGGACTCCTGGGGTCAAGGTCACTGTTACTAAAAATAGAAAAATGGTTTCCGGACAATAACTAGAGTTAGGAATGAGATATTGTAATCAAACTTGGTGCATAGCAAACTTATATGAAGAGTCAAGTTGGTATTGCATTTAGACCCCGTGGGGTCAAGGTCACTGTAACTAAAAATAGAAAAATGGTTTTCAGACAGTAACAAGAGTAAGGAATGAGATATTGTAATTAAACTTGATTTATAGCAAGTGTTTTTAGAATTAAACTTGATTTATAGCAAGTTTTTTTTTTAATGAAGATCCCGTTTAGATTGCAATTAATTGAAATATAATTCTTTGTACACAGTTGATACTTCAATTACTATAGTAAAAGTTTTTTTTTCAGACCACTTATTTTTCAAAAAGTCAAAGTTGCTGGTTGGGTTATTAATCACCTTCAGTGATAGCTCAATTTTATTCTATTTTTGACTTACTGGA